CCGGTACCCAGGGCCTTACTGGTGCCAAAGGAGCCAGTGAAGGGAAACCCACGCCAAGGTGGTGACCCGCCCTTCCCGCAGAGCCGTTTGCTGGAGAGCCCGTCTACTAGTTCTTTTCCCAGACTCCCGGATGTGCTGGGGCCCACGGGCCCTTGCCTTTCTTTGCCCGGAGTGGAGGACAATGTGGTCTCCAGGTGAGCCTTTCTGTCGAAAGTGTACACCCAGCCAGCGAAGTGCTGGCTCCTGTCCAGCTGGGGCAGTAACAGGGTGAACAGTGAGGTCCTCAGACACAACTACTGCTGGTGCCTCATTGTGTCGCTTTCTTGTAAGATGGATCATCTCAAGTTTCTCTGGTGCGAAGGCCACCTTGTTTATCTCCCCCCACCTCAGAATACTCTGTATATCCTGTCTGAGAAGGGTGGCATTGTTGTCAAGTGAGTGGGTCGCCCGCCAGATGTTCAGATCATCCGCATAGCCAAAGCGCAACTCCGAGTTTTGCCACAGCAGCTCTGCCAGGTACAGAAGGAACAGTATTGGTGACAAAGGAGACCCCTGTGGCGTGCCACATTGCATCTGATGTGCTGCTGTGGTGGTCCCCTCCAGCCGGACCTGAGCTCTGCGTTCAGTGAGGAAACTGTCAATGAGCTGCAGCAGCTCGCGTGGCCACCCCTGCTGCGCCATCCGCTGAAGCAGCCGCCTGCGCAGCACAGCATCAAAGGCACCCTGCACATCCATTGTGACCATGGACACTTCTTTGTTTTGTGCGAAGGCTGCCTCCACCTCATGAGTGAAAGCAGCTACCAGGTCCATTGCAGATCGTCTGGGCAGCGCCCCCCCATGCTGTGGGCTGACTATGCCGTGAATGAGTGCCGTGTACGCCAGTCGCCTTGCAATGATGCGTTCCAGCCCTTTGGAGATTACAGAGAAGCAGGGCAATGGGCCTCCAGGAGCGGACTGAGCTCTATTCTCTTTTTATCAACTTTGGGTATCATTGCCTGTGGAATTCG